TAGAGTTGAGAGGTAAGGGAGAAGAGGGACAGGACACCCAGAAGCTCCAGCAATAACAAAGGACACTTTCATCTAGGTCTCCATTACATCCACTCATTGCTCGTCTAAGATCCTGTGTCTTGCCTGATCCTCAGGCCTATGCTGGTCTTTTTGTTGGGAAGGAGTAGACTGAACCTGGAGTCTGGGCAACTGTCTCACAGCCCACTGAGTGACCACAAGGCACAAGTACTCCAGTTGCCTAGTAGTGGTGTGAAGAGGTAGGTACTCAGCCTCCCTCAGCAGGAGAGTAGGGTTGGTGACAATGCCTGACTGAGTCCTTACTTCCTGCAGTCTAGTTACCAATCACTTTCTCTTCCTCCTAGCTCTCTTTTTTCTCCCCTCTTTATAATTAGGACCCAGTCTGAACTGTGTCTAGACTGTGAGTACAAAGTTAAACTAGTCTTCTCATTAGAGAAGGCTGTTTTTGTTAAGTTTCATGCAGCCACTTTCAAAACCAGCAAAAGCCTGGTCAAATCCGCAAGGTAACCACAGAGACTGGCTGTGGAAAAGAGAGGCTAGAGAGAAAGTTGTTAAGTCTCCACTGTATATATTTGGACACCAAAATTTGGAGAATGAAACAAGTCGCCACAGATGACTTAGGAAGCAAGCAGGGAAGCTGAGTCCATTGGAAAAGGCTGGTTCCAATTTGGTTATAATCTTTGGGCATTATTGCATTTCCTCAGTGAAGAATGTTGCTGCCTTTTTTCTGGGGGCATAAACTTTATCTTCACTAATAGACCATTTCTCAAGAACAGAAGCCTTGCTTTTTTCCTCATTCATCCATTTCCATTGGCATAGAACAATGCTCCATGCCATGAGCATCTCTAATAGATGGCCTTTTAAATGTAGCTGCAGATATTGTCACTGACCTCTGAAACCCATGTGCTGCTGCTCAGCTATTCCTTCTTTGATACTTCCTCTGAGAGACATCTGGGCCTGGCTATGAGGACTGATTTGGCTCTGGAGCTTTTTAGTTTGCCCTCTCCCCTGACTCTTCTGGTTTGGGTTGGCTGACCCCCACCCCATGGAGAGAGCGTGTAATCTCAATGGAATCTACTTTGTGCCAACTGGGTGCTATTACTGACCTGTCCTGGCACATCACCTTAGTTTTGGCCAGAGCATGCATGACCTATAGAATTCAGCAGTTAAAGCTGCTGGCAGCCATGCAGTGGAATCTGCACATCTGGACATAGACGTAGGGCCAGGGGTCACAGATATTCCTACCTCATTTACTTCAGCCTGCCTGTGTCACTCTTTCCCCGCCAATGTCACTCCTCCCATTGAGCACATAAGTCAATCCTCAGTTTGGGCCATCTGGGCTCCAGCCCCTGGTGAACTGATTCTTCTGGGGGTGGGGGTGGGGGTGGGGTCACTTCTAGCCCCAGCCTGGGTAGGCTGGGACAGGTGGGAAGGACAAAGCACCTATTTCAGCCCTTAATCAGGAAGACTTATATCCCTGACTGTTCCATCTGGGAGGGAGCCTCAAGGCCTCTCAGCTCTCTAGGTGATGGTGTATTGTCCAGGGCCAATGTCCCTGACATCCTGTTTGGTAATAACCCATTACATTCTCCAGATTTCTGCTAGGGAAGGCTGCTGGAGAATTCAGTCTGTAGCCCTGCTCCAAACTCCTTTGCTCTTATCTTTTGGAGCAATTGCAAATTAATGCCTCCTAATCTCACTTCTCTGAGCCATTTGGCTCCTATTCTGATAGTCTGCACATAGCCATCATCCAAATCCAGAAGCATACGCTAGCTGGTCTCTTTGTATAGTTTTCCCTTTTTCTTTGGGACCCGTCAGAGTCAGAGCTAGGAAGGAACACATTTGTTGAATGCTTTGTACTACATTCCATGGGCTTTAATTTTCTCCAGGATGTGATTTAATGCTCTCAGCAGCCCTAAGGAGTGCATTCTATGTCCCCTTCCCTTACAGAGAAGAAAACTGACACATAGAGAGAGGTGGTACAACTTGCTCAAAGTCAAAGAGCTAGTGACTTGTCTGCATTAGGATTTGAACCGAGGCTTTTGACTCCACTAGACCAGAAGGAGCAGGAAAAAGTTTGGGGGCCTGGAGTGGGTTTCTTTAAGTCTAAGCCCCTTGCTGGTTTGGTATCTGAGGGCAGGTGGCATAATGCAATGGAAAGGAGCATGGGACATGGTGTTCAAAGATCAGGGTTGTAGTCTTAAGCTGTAACACTTAACTCTGTATGATTTGGACAAGTCCTTTGGGACTCGGTATGCCCATGTTGTAGCTTTTAAAAAGTACTAATGTGGAGAATCCCACTACAGACTTATTAAGTCAGCCTTCTGTGGATGGGGCCCTGGGTGCTGATATTTTTAAAAAGCTTCCTAGCTCATTCTGGGGATGACAATCACTGAGCAACGTGATTTAGAACAGCATGTCTCACACTTTAATGTGTGTGCAAATTGCTCAAGGATCTTGTTAAATGTAGATTCTGATTCAGTGGCTCTGGGGTGGGCCTGGGATTCTGCATTTCTAACAAGCTCCTAGGTAATGTTTATGCTGCTGGTGTGGGACTACACTCAAGTAGTTATGGGTTAGAGGGCTAGTATGAATGAAAAAACTTGGCACTCATGTTGAGTGAACTGGTCCCCTTCCTGCCAAACCCTAGCTAGGGCTGCTGCCTAACCTCAGGGAAGCAGGCAGCTCCTCACTCTCTTAAGTTCTTTGTGGCTTTGGCAGATAGTGTGGACGTGTAACCTTCAGGCCTTCATTGCTACCTTCTTCAGGCTGAGGAAAGAGAACAGAACTAAGGAAGGGAGGTGCCTCTCTCCTTCCTTCTTTACTAGCCATTAGTGACTGGGGGCTGCAGAGGGGATTTCAGGGGTTTGTTCCTGGCATGCAGGACTATCCCTTCCAGGAGTGGCTATACCTGTGACCCTGTCTCCTCCTCTGCCCAGCTCTTTGGAAATTCTGACCTGGCACCTCCTTTTTGTCCTAATGAGAGGAAAAGCAGAACTGGCGCTGAGATGGGGAAGGGTCCTCTCCTGGAGCTGTAGAAGGAACAAGGAACAGGGAAATGTCTGTGGCAGCCAGTTCAGCTGTCCTAGCAGCAAAATCATGTCCTTCAAATGCTCCTTGGGTTGGTGTGCAGCCCCTCTTCTCGCTGGTCTTACTGTGGCACCCAGGCTACCACTGTCGTAGAGAGCTGGATCCTTTCTCAGGCCTGCATTGCCCGCTACCAGACAAAAAGAAGTACTGCTAGCAGGGCTTAGTCTGACACTTTATAGAACCCCCGCAGAGGTCCTTGCAATTCCTAGATCTCTGTCCTGAATGAGGAAGCTGCAGTAACATAGACACACGTTCACACACAGACACAGGCGCATGCACTTGCACAAGTGCCTGTGAGTATGTACAGGTGCACAGGGATCATGGATATAAGCAAACTTGGCTGTACTGTACACAAAGACTCGCTGGGGTGGGCACTGACGTGGTATATGCACTCAAGGAGATGCATAGATATTCATTCCTGTCCTACCCCTGTTTGCCCCAAAACCCTTTAGGGGCTGACTGCAGAGCCTTTTCTTTCCCTCAAATCCTCATCAGGGTGTGGCCCTTGAGGAACCTATTATTTTCTTTCTGACTGACTTCTATGTCCTCCCCGGCCCCTCCCTTGTCTACTTACGTAGCATGTTTAGAATACTGTTTTATCCTTTTATCTTATCAGTCACAGCTGCCAGAATCTCATCCTGGATTTCCTTGTGGGTGAGCACTGGGAAGAGATAGCTCTTCCTGTCTTGGAAAAACGCCACTGGTTTCCTTGGAGTCTTCTGGTCAGTTGGGCCAGACAAGACTCTGAGCACAGGTGCAAAGGAAGTGGACATGTTGGAGGCATATCTCAAAAACCAGTGCAGTTCTGCTTGGTGCCAGAAGCCTTCCTCCACCAACCATGTGATGCCAGGTCCCATGATCCCAGCCCCACTGGTATTGGCACCACCTGGGTGAGAGGCAGATAACAGCCTATGTGGCCCCAGAGTTTTGCTGTTGACAGTCAGTCCACTCTGAGCAGGAGGGCCTCTGCTGGGACTGTAGCACAGGGATCATGGACATAAGCTGCATGTGATCAGCTCTGTGCCAACTCCCAGAGCAGAGGGGGAGGTTGGCCCAGTCACGGTCCTCTAAGACACCCATATGCCAGCACTACGTCAGCACAATATTCAACATTGGGCTATGTCACAAATAGACTGAACCACTAAGGAGAGCTGGGTCAGTGCTGGGTGGCCCCCTGAGGCCTGGAAGGAGCACTGGGGGAACTTCTGTCAGAAGGTAGGGACTCTGAACTAGAGTCGGGCTCAGCTGGTACTCCTTACCCCAGCATGGCTGCTATGTCCACTGTGAGACTGTAGGCTAAGCCCCTTTGCTTATCTATAAAATGGTGATAGGGAAACTGCCACAGGTTACTGTGTGTATAAATGAGATTTAGCTATCAAAGTGCTGGACAATGTTAGGTATGATGATGAGAAAGAGGATAATAATTATTGTTATTTCTTGTCTACTGCCTGGACTAGAACGTTCTACTTGGGGCCTTAGAAGATGATGGCTCCCTGAGCAAGGCCAGGGGTGGAAGACACAGCTTTGGCTCCTTATCCCAGTAGGCTCCTTGACCCTGGATAAACCTAGGAGTTGCTGACAGAGGTGGGGGACCCTCTATGTTTGGGCAGGGTACAAGATAGGGAAAGGGGTTTGGCACTGGCAAGGACTGAAGCTCAAGAAAGCCTTGGCCAAGACATTCAGAGAGTGAAACTAGGGGAGCAGCAGCTTCCCATCTGGTTATGACCAGGTGACAATGTACCAACCCCTCTGTGTTAGATATTTCTGGATCACCAGAACTAGATGTGCCTGCCTGCTGGAGGTGAGATAGTGTATACTCAGGGACTTGGTGCCAGAACCGTCCTAACCCCGTTTCTTTTCCTGTTTTTTACCCTCTGTTCTCTATCAGAAGCTGAGGCCAAAAAAGCATGTGAGTGGCTCCGAGTGACAGGATTCCCTCAGTATGTTCAGCTTTTTAAAGGTAAGACCAATTAATTGCTTGCCCTACTCCAGGGGTCCACAAATTTTTTAAACAGGGGGCCAGTTCACTGTCACTCAGACCATTGGCGGGCCGGACTGCAGGCCCCAGGATGAGTCAGCCACTAAGCAGGACAGGCAGTGGCGGCAAAAACACCTGGCAGGCCGGATAAATGTCCTAGGTGGGCCACATGTGGCCTGCAGGTCATAGTTTGAGGACGCCTGCTACCCCATGTAAGACTTTCCTTATCCCTCAGTTTTTCATCTATAAAATGGGGGCAAATCTGAGCCTCTCCAACCACATGCAAGAAACTGTGTCTCTTGGCCTAGCTCAAAATTTTTTATTGACTTTGCTCCTGTAGTCACACCTTTGTCTCCTACAGCAGCATCTTACTACTGGATTTCTCTGGTAAGCCTCCACAAGCTCTGGTTGCCCATGTTTTATACTATCCTGTCCTGATCAGGGTCACCATGCTATACCACTCCTGAGGACACCATTTACATGAATATAATGTCAAGGGTGTACCCTGGCAGCCCAGCCTTAATCTCCATGGTAATGGAGAGAAATTTCTCACTTTCTCCACAGCAATGGAGAGAAATTTCTATTTCTCTTCTTTTTTCTAGAGTTCTTTACACTGTTTTAATTTCTCCTCTTCTTCTCATGCCTCCACTATACCCTGACCTCCACTGCACCCTGACTTCACCCTTACTTCACCTCATCTAGCTCACCATTAACCTCCATGTACGTGCTCCCACTCAATGACCACTTCCTAGTCCTTATCTATTGCATCTCTCAACAGCATTCAGTGCAGTTGGCCACTCCTTTGGCTTCTAGAATAACTCCCTTTCCTGGCTACCTCTCTTCCTGCTGCCGTAAAGTCTCCTTAGCTGACTCCACGTCTTCTATGTGGTATCTAAATGTTAGCATGTCCCAGGACTAAGTAAATCCTGCTCTCTCTTCTCTCTCAACATTGCTTTCCCCTGAGATCTTTGTCCAAGTATCATCTATATTCTCATGACTTCCAAATGTCTCATTGCAAAGCTTCAGATTCACTGTTTCTACTCAGAAGTCTGACAGATTTATCACATTTAAAAGTCCTAAATCCCAACTTCTGAAGGCATCACTATCCCCCCACTTGATCAAGCCTCATATCCATGAATCATCCATAATTCCTCCTTTCCCTCATTCCCCCATCTCTAACCCTTCAAGTCCTTTTTCCCTCTGGAATGTATCTTAGAGCCATCCACTTCTACCACCTCTGCCATAGCCCAGGCTATGCCAAGACTAGTGCTTGCCTAGACTAGTGAGTGCCCCAGCCTCCTTCCTGCCTTCCCTGCTTCTGCTTTTGCTGTCCTGTGCTCCCGTCTCCATGCTGCAGTTAGAGAGCTCCTGCTGGCCATAGGTCTGACTATGTTCCTTGTCTGCTCCAAACCCTCTGCTGGCTTCCTGGCACATTCAGAATGAAGTAAGTTCAAATGCTCCACTCTGGCTAGCAAGACTACATTATCCAACTGCCATTTATTACTTTCCCCTTTGCTCTCAAGGCTTCTCTCTACTGTGTGCTCATACCAAGCTCTTTACCTCCTCAGATCCTTGATAATGATGTTACTTCTGCTTAGAAGCCTCTTTCTTGTTCTTTTACACACGTGGCTGCTTCTGGTCTCAGCTCAAAAAGGCCTCTGGTGACCACCTCCTTACAAATAACCCCATGCTCACCAGCCTTTTTCTACCCCGTCACCCTGGCTGATGTCTTTCATGGCATTTGTAACTGCTTTATCTTGGTTTCATGTATTGCTTACTGTTTGTTTCCTGTGAGAGTATAAACTACATGAAGGCAAAGACCATATTTCTCTTGTTCCCTATTGTATGCCCATTGTCTTATGCAGTGCCTGTCACAAAGTAGGTGCTCAATTAGTATTAGTTGAATGAGTAAATGAATGAATGGGCCTGATTTACCAGCAAGGCAGAGAGCTGTGGGGATTTTTAGATTCTCTGTCCCCTTCTCCCTGCTCCTTCCTTTCTCTTCTCTGGACAATAGGGGAAGCAGAGGTATTATTTGGCTTTGTGCTGTCACATCTATCCTTGCTCCTTCCCTATGACTACCTTCAGCTTTCCCTGGGCCAGGGCGAGGGTTCCCTGTCTGAGCAGCCCAGGATTCAGAGGGAAGTAGGGAAGTCCAGGTTGGCTTTTAGTAGCTACCTAGGGTTTCAGGTCTACCATTGCACATGAACTGCCTCAGTGACTGACAGGGATCTCTGCAGCTCAACCCCTGTGCCCTTTTCCAGCCCTTTCCTCTGACTGCCAGCCCAGAGCTCCTTGGACCCCCTTTATACTTGCCTGGCTTTTTGCCTTTTGCTTTGACTCTTGCCTTCCTACTCCCCTTCCTTCCTGGTATCCCTCTTCCAGTTTGAGGGCTTCTGGGGCTGAGTTTCTGATCTACTGCTGAGCTCATATTTGGTCCTCTTTTCATATAGAAGGTTTGTTTCCCCTGGATATTGACTCTGTGAAGAAGGACCACAGTTTTCTGGATGAGGACTCTTTGGGGGCTCTGTGCAGGTAGGTGGGCTAAGAGCCAGGCCCAATGCCAGATTGGGGGTTCCTCATGGTAAAAACCATTCCTTGTGCCCTCTAACAAGAGCCCAGCTTATTAGTAATCAAGCTCATCTTCTGCAGTGACATTGCTCATTCTGTTTGTGCCTGTGACACCCTCACCCATCCAGTCATACTAGCTAGAAAGCAAAATTGGCCTTGATTCTATCACATCCTCAAACATTCCTCTGATTTAGCACCTCTCTGCTTACACCAGCTCAGTTCTTATTTGAGTCCAATCCATGGCTTCTCCTTGGGTCCATTACTGTAGCCTCCTAACTAGCTTTAGTCTTATAGTTCCCCTACCCCCTGAGCCCTTGATCCATCCTCTTAACAGCCATGAGTCAGCTTTTAAAGCTCTAGGTAGGTGCTTCTCTGATCAAAATTTGTCACTGCCTACAGGTGGAAGTGCAAAGCTTTTTTAGCATGACACTCAAGGCTCTTTGAAATCTGGCTTTTGAGCTACCTTATTAGCCTTGGTTCCATTGTCACTTGCCTATATTCATCCGCTTCCTGTCTGTTTTCATCTCTACAGGGTCCTGTGGAAGCCTAGGGTAGGAATCCCTGTTTCTTTTGCTCACAGAATCCTGTTTCTGTCCTCCAGGAAGCCTGTTCTGATTGCTTCAGAATTTCTTATCTCACCCTCTGTGTGTCTGCTGTGTCTCTTGTCTGTTCTTATCTTGAGCACATCCCATATCTGTACTTTATTTCCAAATCTATAAGCTCCTGGAAGACAGTATCAATTTTCCCAGTATCATGTCTAATGCTTAAACCTTCATTAACACCAGGGCTTAGGAGATGTTTTAATGGGTTAGGTATGTGAAGTGGTGGGTGGCATCTTGGGAATGTCTTGGTAGGTCATTCCAGGCTTTGGGAATTGGGAACCTTGTGTGAACATTTCTATTTTGTTACAGGAGGCTGATGACCTTGAACAATTGTGCCTCAATGAAACTGGAGGTTCAATTTCAGTGCAAGCAGGTGAGTCATCATATCTGTGGTCTTAGGCACCATGAGAAAACCCAGCATATACACTTGTGAAGCTAGCTCCAGTATCTCAGGAGTCTGGGTGTTCAGAATAGTGCCTGGCTCCAGCCTGAGGGTGCAAATGGAGTGGCCCAGTGCGGGTGCTAAGTTTGGTGAGTGTGGTCTGAAGGCTAGAGTTTGAGAGCAAGTGCAATGGAAGATGACCTCCCCTCGCCCCTGTCAGTTCACCTCTCCCTCCTGGAATTACTAGTAATGGCCACTCATCAGAGAAATCCATCTGCCCCCACTATTTACTTTGTGATGACTAAAATTCTTGAATAAGAGACAGACGGAAAACTGTGGTAGAAAGATCATGACCTCTATGGTCTTAAAGGTTAGGATTCCTGAGTCACCCCATGAAGTTTTACCCTTCTGAGCCTCATTTTCCCTATCTCTATAAGGATTTGAGAGAGCTGCCTTGTAGCCTCTAATAGGCCTTTTTGACTCTGCTAATCTGAGATTGTGGAAACAGGAAGGACTCTTGGTTTAGCTCTGGAATGTAGGCCTAGTGACCCTGTCCTTTCCTAGGGATAAGCTTTACTCATTTCCTCTATATGTAGCTCTCTTCACAAAAGGCCTGCAGTCAGGTATGGGCAGTCAAGTTGCCAAAGCCCTGGGCTATCATGCAGGAGACCCATGGGGTCTGGTCCTCGCTCTGCCAGTGTCTGCTGAGTAACACTGGGCAAGACCTCTTTCCCTTTCTGAGCCTCAGGTTCCCTACCTTGCAAAGGAAGAGAATTAGAAAATGTAAAATCCTCTCAGCTCTGGTGTTCTGTGATTCTAATCTAAGACTATAGCTCGTGACTTGAGAGGCTCTGTCAGTGATTTATTTTCCATGTCATTGTACAGCCTTGGTCAAGTGGCTTCTCATTTTTAAGTCTCCCTTTTCCTATCTGCAAAATAGTGGGGGATAGATGACTGTTGCCATTTATCTGGCCTCTGTCAATAACTCTTGCTTCCTCCAGCACTCCCAGAGCTAGCTCTTCCTTCTTAGGCCATGTCCTCAACCAGAAGATGGGGACCTTTACCTTGTCCCCTAAGAGCTTGGGAGCAGAGTGTGGAGCACAAAAAAGGACTTGAGGGCTCCACTTCTCTGACCCAACCCTGTAGTACTCTCCCCAGAATGAAAAGTCAGAAGAAGAGGAACAATGTACCATCAGCAGCGGCTGGGCCTTCCAGCAGGAAAGTAAGCACTGGTCTTGTGTGAGGTCCTCTGACTTGCTGGCCCCCTCGAACTCTGGCCTTCTAGTGAACTCAAGCTGTGAGAGTGTCCTCACTGAGTTTAGCGCCACCTCCCTGCCAGCCATCACTGTGAGTCTACCGCCTGAGCCAGCAGACCTGCCCTTAATAGACTCTTTGCCCAGCCCTAGTGACCAGTCCTTCCTTAGCCCCACATGGGGCCAGGAGGGTCCTCTGGACAAAGCCAAGAAACACCGTTCCCGCAGCTTCCTCAAGCACCTTGAATCTCTGTGGAGGAAAGAAAAGGATAGTAGCCGGCAAGTAGACCCTGAACATAAGCCAACCACTACAGAAAAGACCATCAAAGCCTCATCTTTCCGTACTTGTCGTGGCTTCCTATCAGCTGGATTTTACAAAGCCAAGAATTGGACAGCTACCTCAGCCAGTGGCAGGAGTGCTGGGAGTCAGAGGGCCTGGGAGGCTTGGCCTGTGGCCATGTTCCAGCAGCATCAGCAATTAAACAGAGGTGACTGGATGGTGTATGTACCCAGGGACCACAAACCAGGCACCTTCCCTCGCTCACTGTCCATTGAGAGCTTGTGTCCTGAGGATGGACACCACCTGGCAAATTGGCAGGCAGGTAGGCACTGGGGCTATAAGGGACGCCGGGGCTCTTGTGGCTCAACGGGCAGCCATGCCAGCACCTACGACAACTTGCCAGATCTGTATCCAGCTGAACCTGGACTGGCTGGGGCCGACACCGAAGATGAGGAGGAGGGGGAGGTTAGGGGCAGTTACACTCACGTCGATGACATTCTCCAGCATGTTTGGGGGCTGCAGCAACGGGTTGAACTCTGGTCTCAGGCCTTATACCCAGACCTGGGGCCTGTAGATAAGGAAGAGGAAGATGAGGAAGAGGAGGAGATTGCTTCTTCAATAGAAATAGCCACAGCTGAGTTTGAAGGCCAGGCTGAGACTCTGACCCAGGCAGAGGCTCCAGCCCATGGGATACCCTCACCCTGGGTCCAGGATGAAGTCCAGCCAATAGTACCGGCTCAGGCTCAGGCCTCAGCCAAGGCTGAGTCATTGGCACAGGCAGAGGCCAAGCCCCAGGCCCCATCCCAGGACAATGAACAGGAAGCACATTCAGGTGGGGAACCCACCTCTACCTCCAGCCTGTCTGTGGAAGAAGGACCCTCCATTCCTGACACTGTGACCTCTAACGAACTTGATAGTAGTGGGAACTCTATGAATGAAGCTGAGGCTGCAGGGTCCCTGGCTGGACTCCATGCATCAGTGTCCCATGAACGGCGTGATTCAGGTGTTGGGGCCTCACTTACCAGACCTTGCAGGTGAGAGTTTGTGTGGGGGTGCAGGTGGGGGTCCTGTTTCTTTTTCTCTGTGTCTCTCTTCCCTCTACCCCTAGTTGATTTCTTAGTCACAGGCCCAGAGGCAGGTTCTTGGGTGCTGGCTCCAAGCAGCTAGTCTCAGGTAGAGAATACAGAACTCTGGAAACCAGAATGTTAAGGCTCAGGATCTGCCTCTACTATGGCCTTGAGGAAATTATAACTTCTCTTTGGGAGTAGGTTTCATCTGTCAAATGAGGGTATTAGAGGAGGGGTTCTGTGATACCCAGCTTTGCTATCCCTGGTTTCTTGGGACATCCTCTCTACAGTAGTCTTGGACTGGGTGGGAGCTGCTGCTGCCTGTTGGCACTAGGTGGGCCTGAGCTCCCTGTTACCTCCTGAGAGCTTCTTGACCCCTGCTCAGACCTGGTACCCAAGACTAAGCTTTTTCATGCTGGGGCTCAGTAGCACTGTTGAAAGTGGCCCCATCTCCCTGCATTTTCTTTCTTTTGGAAGAGAAAAAGGGACTAGAAGAACATAACTTTTTCTATGGTTTAGAAAAACCTGTTTCTCTGACCTTCTCCACCCATTTCACCCCCCACCAGGAAGCTCCGTTGGCATAGTTTCCAGAACTCTCACAGGCCCAGCCTTAACTCGGAGTCTCTGGAGATCAATCGGCAGTTTGCAGGCCAGATCAACCTCCTGCACAAGGGCTCACTGCTGCGGCTCACTGCCTTCATGGAGAAGTACGCTGTGCCCCACAAACAGGGCTGGGTCTGGTAAGTGGCTCCTGGGCTATGGAGGGTGGGGGTCAGGACCAGGGCTCTGGGGCCAGTCACCTAAGGAGGTGGGAGCAGGCAGGCAGAGCCCCAGGCCATTGGAGTGATGTGGTGTGCTAGGGGGCTGGAGCGGACGCAGGAGGGTGGGGTTGGACTCTAGGTCTTCAAACTTTATCTTCTCCAGTCCAGCCTCCATGCTGCCACCAGTGAGGTTATACTAAGATACAGTTTCATTGTCACTCTTCAGATAAATAAACAGCCTTCTGTGGCTCCCCATTGTCCAGATTACTTCCCTATTGTGATTCTTTCCTATTGTGGTCTCACTCCTTCCTTCTGGCTCTTTAGCCTGCCACTTCCAAGTAGTGCAACCTTATAGGCCAATGGGAGTAGTAGTCCTTCCCTGAATGTGCCATCCTGTTTTTCCTGCCTCTTTGCCTTTGTTCATCTTCTTCATCTCTGCCTGGGGTGCCTTTTCCTTATTTCTTCTCTGGGACAACACTCTTTTGTCCCTTAATAGCTTGCTGAATTACCACCTCCTCCTTGAAGCCTTCCCTGACACACTAAGTACAGTTCCCCTTCCTCACGAGTCTTTCCCCCAAATTCTTGGCCTACTACTAGCCACATTAATTATCACTGTTTGTTGACACAGTTGTGTCCTTGACCAGAGTGAGAGCTCTCTGTTCTTCTGTGATTCCCTAGGGCTGGGCCTAAAGCAGATGCTCAGTGACTGTTGACTCTAGAGATACAGTGTGTTCTTTACCCTACCTGATCACTTGTCATTCCTCCCAAACAGGTCAGTGCCCAAGTTCATGAAGAGGAACAAGACACCAGACTACCAGAGACAGCATGTATTTGGGGTGCCACTTCTCATCCATGTGCAGCGCACAGGCCAGCCCCTGCCACAAAGCATTCAACAAGCCATGCGCTACTTGCGCAGCCAGTGTCTGGACCAGGTGATCCTTCCTGGGGTAGCATTCTTAGAGATGGTGCTGCAGATAGTGTGGGTGGGGAAGCCCAAGGCTAAGAATCTGAGGAGGAGCACTTCTCTGGCCTGACCCCTGGGTTGGAACTTTCCTGTTCTTTATCAGGCCCAGAAAGGATGGGCTCCTTTCTATTCCTCCAAAGCTCCTTTCTATTTTCTCCAAAGCTCCTTTCTATTCCTCAGGTCCAAAGTCTTCTTCCCAGCTCTGTGCCAGCTTCTTTCTGGCCAAATCTCTGTTGTACCTATCTTCTAGGAGCCTCCCCTTAGCCTAGATCCACTTTTTCCTACTCATCTCTGCCTTCTTTGGCCCTGAGGGTATAAAAATCCTTCTCTTTGCTTTTGTCACTTGTCTTCTACCCTGCCCAGAAGGAAGCCTAGCAGGCTTCAAGGTCTCTGGGGTGGCCCATATGCCTGACACTCAGTCCAGAGTTCATCTCACAGTCTCCTTCCCTCCTATCCATGGACCAGGTGGGCATCTTCCGTAAGTCTGGAGTCAAGTCCAGGATTCAGAACCTACGCCAAATGAATGAGACCTCGCCTGACAATGTCTGCTATGAGGGCCAGTCAGCCTATGATGTGGCTGACCTGCTGAAGCAGTATTTCCGGGACCTTCCTGAACCCATCTTCACCAGCAAGCTCACCACCACTTTCCTACAAATCTACCAGCGTGAGTCACCTGCATCTTTTCCCAACAACCTGCCCCATTCTTGGCTTCCCTAGATCCTAGGGCTAGTGGAAGATAAACGTGGTATAGGCAAATGGAGCATGACCCATAAACTCGTTGGAATATTTATTATCTCAAGTAAGAGGGGCCCTGAAAGAAACCACATTCTGCCTCCCCAGACCCATTATATGGAAGGGTAGACTGAGGCCCCAAGGAAAGGAAGGGACCTACCTAAGTTTACACTGTATGTTAGTAGCAGAGCAAGGTCTAGCACCCAGAGACCTCCTAGAGCAATTTTTTCTCTCCCCTCTCACTGGCTTCCCTTGGGCCTGTAATGCCTTCTGAATTTCTGGAAGCAGGAGGTTTGTTGCCAGAGCCCCTGGGGAAGTAAGGAAGGCCCTTCTGCCACTGCTTCCTCACAGTCCTCCCCAAGGATCAGTGGTTGGCAGCAGCACAAGCTGCCACTTTACTGCTCCCCGATGAGAACCGAGAGGTGCTACAGACTCTGCTCTACTTCCTAAGTGACATTGCCTCTGCTGAAGAAAACCAGATGACAGCCGGCAACCTGGCAGTGTGCCTGGCACCCTCCATCTTCCACCTCAACATCTCCAAGAAGGATAGCCCTTCTCCCAGGTGAAATGGGGCAGAACATGTCAGAGCCCAGGGCAGGAGGGTTTGGGCCCCATGTCTTGGCCTCAAGGGGTCAGCCCAACCTGTAGGAGACTAGGGTTGGCTGGGTGCTGTAGACCAGGCCCTTCCAAAAGGCAGCAGGTTGTCTTGTGGTGAGGATGGGCATAGTGGCTTTTGGGGAGCTGGTAGTCAACCTGTCGGTCATCTTATCTTGTGCTCTTGTGCCATTTTCTTTTTGCCCCCTTGATCCAGGATCAAGAGCAAATGTAGCCTGGTCAGCCGGCCAGGCCCCAGGGATCTCACTGAGAACATGGCTGCCACTCAGGGCCTATCACACATGATTAGTGACTGCAAGAAACTTTTCCAGGTGAGTAACCCCAGGCATAGTGCCTACTTATGGGGGACCATCAGTCTGACCTTAATGCCTCACCTCAGAGATAGGGCCCAAATTGACACTTAACTCTTCAAGCTCCTACTTCAACTCCTCCCTCACAAGGTTTCTCACCTACCTTGCTGTAGTATTCGCACATCTCCACCACCCTTGACGTGAACCCGACAGACCTGACAAGACAGATCCCCAGCCCAGTGTGTGTGTGCCCTCTCAGGTGCCCCAGGACATGGTGCTGCAACTGTGTGGCTCATATAGTGCAGCTGAACTCAGTCCTCCTGGCCCAGCCCTGGCTCAGCTGCGGCAAGCCCAAGCCACTGGGGTGAGCCTGAGCCTGTACATGGAGGAGAGCATCCAGGAGCTGCTACGCAATGCTGCTGAGCGCTTCAAGGGCTGGATGAATGTGCCAGGGCCCCAGCACACAGACCTGGCTTGTAAGAAGGTGAGCATCACACCACCCATGTCTGCTATGGAGCTGTGAAGGGGGATGGTGCAGGCAAGGGGAGTGGAGGAACCTATAGGAAGGAGCCAGGATGGAGCTGCCCTGCCAGACCTCCTCAGTCTCTTGCAAAATGATAGCCAGTGACCAAATACCTCCTTTTTTTTTTTTTTTTTCTGAAACTGAATCTCACTCTGTCACCCTGGGGTAGAGTACCAGGGCAGCATAACTCATAGCAACCTCAAACTTCTGGGCTCGAATGATCCTCTTGCCTCAGCCTCCCCAGTAGCTGGGGCTACAGGTGTCTGCTATGACACCCGGCTAATTTTTCTATTTTTAGTAGAGACAGGATCTCATTCTTATTCAGACTTGTCTCAAATTCCTGAGCTCCAGCAATCCACCTGCCTTGGCCTTCCAGAGTGCTAGGATTACAGGCGTGAGCCACCACACCCAGACTAGCAAGCAAGTACCTTACAGAATCAAGAATGAAAAGAGACCAAGGGAGCTCACTAGGGGACCACCAACAAAAGCCACATTCCAGATCTAGTGCTATTTTGATAGCTCCATCTGTCCCTGTGCAGCAGTAAAAGCTGAACCCCACTTTTGTGCTTTGCTCATGCTATCCTGCTGCCTGGACTGCCCTGCCCCCAAGCATGATGTTTCCTGAGCCACTTTCAGCTCCAACAAAATATGCCCCTCTTCCAGGGCCCTTTTCCCATTCGGAACCTGGCTAGAGGTGATATCTCTCTGTCCCCCTTCTGGGCACTGGCCTTGCTCTTTCTTGGATTATGATTCTGAGTAAGATCGCAAGCCTGATGTGTCCTGTGTATAAAATGGTCCTAATGAAAGCTCCCTTGCTGTATTGGGCTGAAAGTACCTTACATGGTGCCTGGCACATATGAAAGCCTCAGTAAATGGCAGCTTCTGTTGTGCACATGTTACTTCCCATGCTATATGGAGAATTTTTTGAGGATGATCTCTTCTTCTCATTTCCAAAAATTCTAAGCTTTGTGCCCATTTTATGGTAAGGCCTAATAGGCCTCTCAGAATGTGTGTCCCATCATTTCTTTGTGCTCTCAAGCAGGCTAAAACGTGGATATCCAGCAAAGACAAAGAGGACAGGGAGTACAGGGATGGCTCTACCTGGGTCTGGCCAGGGTTAGCAGAGTTTTGCAGCCTTCCCTCATCAGGAGCTAGAGTGATAGGAACCTCAGGCCTATAGTTTGAGGTCTGGACTTGAGGATGGAGTTGGAGTTCTTCATTCTTGACAGCTGCCTGGTCCCCACCCTATGGCTTGCAGGCACCTGATGGGCATCCCCTGCGGATTTGGAAGGCCTCCACGGAGGTGCCTGCCCCTCCAGCTGTGGTGCTGCATCGTGTTCTTCGGGAGCGGGCCCTTTGGGATGAGGACCTGCTGCGGGCCCAAGTGCTGGAAGCCCTGATGCCGGGTGTGGAGCTGTACCACTATGTCACCGACAGCATGGCACCTCATCCCTGCCGTGACTTTGTAGTGCTTCGGTGAGGGGCTCTCCAGCTGCCACTCCACTGTGCTTGGGGGACCAGGGAGGTGGGGCAGGGACCAGCACTAGGAATCTGAGTGTATGTGTCCCATAGGATGTGGCGCTCTGACCTGCCTCGGGGGGGTTGCCTGCTCGTCTCCCAGTCCCTGGATCCTGAGCAACCCGTGCCAGAGTCAGGGGTGCGGGCTCTCATGCTCACCTCCCAGTACCTCATGGAGCCTTGTGGCCTGGGCCATTCCCGGCTCACTCACATCTGCCGTGCTGACCTCAGGTACCCAGCCTGCTGTGACCCCCTTGGCCCTGACCCCTCAACTGACTCTGCTCCTACTTTTCTGTCCCTTGCCACTGATCACTGGGGCTGAGAGTAAGGCTTTTCTTCCTTCTGTCTGGTGAGGGCTCTGGGGAAAAACCCATTGCTCATGCCTGGCTTTTCCTATTTCCCTAGGGGCCGTTCTCCTGACTGGTACAACAAAGTCTTTGGGCACCTGTGTGCCATGGAAGTGGCAAAGATCCGGGACTCCTTTCCCACCCTGCAGGCAGCTGGCCCTGAGACTAAGCTGTGAGCCTTTAGCTGGCCCCAGTTTGGCGCCACCCAGACCTCTGACACCTAGAGAGTGAGGGGAATTAAGAATAAATGCTGCTACTAGGGTTGAGTCAGTCCCAGATGGCTCCAATTGCCTATCCTGGCCCCCTTATTTCCTAAAGCACCACTGTACACATAGAAGAGAGAATTTGTGTGTCCTGTCTCCACCCCACCTTCATCCCCTACACATGTCCTGCTCTCCCAAGAGAGGAAAATCATGTCAATAGTAAGCAGACTGCTGCCACCCTCTATCTGCCTACAAGGCTACCACTCAGTCTGAAGCCTCTAAAGCCCCTCCTTGGTGGGGAAAAGTTCAAGAGCAGTACATAGTCCCAGCTCAGTGCCAAACATTGAAAAGCCAAGCCATCCTGTTTGGTGCTGAGATCCTTTTGAGGTTGGACAGGAGGTTCTGGACCTGTCTTTGGAGTCAATGCTAGCTCTGAACTGGCTTTTCCAGCGAAGTTGGACTAGAGCAGATGGACACAGGGGCAGAACAGAGGACAGCCCAGACACTATGAGCTGTTTTATTTATGTAAATACGAAGCTGACATTTTTGAGGCTGATTTAGAATGGGCAGTGATGGGCCCCTAGTAGACAACATGACAATTTGTGGTAGCGTGGGATATGAGTGTGGGAAACCAATGAACCAGTCTCTCCTGGATTGGACTTTCCACTTGATCTGCCACTCCCTGGGTCCCATATAGCCTTTGGCTACACACTGCCATGTCTGGAGAGCAAACAGGATTGATTTTGCCACCCAGGCCAAGTGAAAGCAGAGAATGGTGAAGAAACAGGTAGCTTTGTCATTTTCCCCTTTTGCCTATGGTAGCAGGCTACCATATAGCCCTTTCCTGGAGCCTGGGACAGGTAGATAGAAGAACTGGGCTTACTCAGTCAGCTGGGGCTTGAGCAAAACCTAATGAATCCCACCCAAGGCTGTCTTTGTTCACATGGAAATTCAAATGCCATTCAAAGGCCAACTGGTGCTTTATTTTTCTATCTGCTGAATAAACTGGTATGGGATAGATCTCAGCCACCATTGTAATTTTTAAGCCTATTTTATTTGTACCTGTAAATACTCTATAGTTGGAATATATGTGTATATATAGATACATATATGCATGTATTCACATATGTACACACATATACAGCCTTTCATGACTGTATTATAATCTCTTGGAGGGGCAGGGGTCTGGCATGCCTCAGGGCACAAGACATTTCTGAAAGATAGGAGAGGTAGGGGAGAGGTAGGGCGCCAGGTAGCTGGCAGAGGAGCCAGGGCAGCTGGATCCCTCAGTAGAACAATAAAGCATTATCAGAGACACTATCTGTCTGTGTGGCTATCTTTTTGGTGAGAAAATGGGCTAGAGACTAAGGACAGTTACAACTAAGGCTCAATGTTGGGGCTCAGAAATTATGAACATTCACTGTACCCTCTCTTGAATCTGAGGAGCAATGGGGCGGGGCTCAATTCTTTGGGGAATGATTTGTTTGGGGGGAGGTTAGAATTTGGGGAAGCTAGGGCTTGGGTTCTCAGGAAGCTGCAAACTGCATATGATCTCAGGTATCCACAGGAGAGGGGATCCTGGCTCAGTGCTCCTTCCTTCCCCTTCTAAATACAGAGCAAACAAAGGATAAAGAGTGGAGACTCAGACCTAGGAGGCTTGGGTACCTTGTGCCACCCATAAGCTGACCTAGAGAGATATGAGTGCTGATACCTGCCCAGGCTGCCCCCCCTTTCCCAGCCTCCCAGGATGCAGCATGCTGTAACACAGTGTTGGTTTGGGAGTGAGGTTGAGCTGGGTTCTGTGACTGTAAGGAAGCTGCTTCACTTCTGGAGGGACTTGGTCTACACTGGTTCTATTGGTTGGGTCCACATCTTTCTAGCATTTATAAAATTGGCAAAAAAATTCCTAATGAATTTTTTTACTGATTTATTGTTTAAAACATGGGGTACATGGGTATAAGGGAAATTCAAAGGGGCCCTTGGGGATTGGATTCAATACATGAAACAACCAGAATTTGTTATCTGGGGCATTTGAACACATTGGAAAGAAAAATTTGCTTTTCCTTTAGGCTTTTGAGAAATTAAAAAATAGGTCACAGATTGCTCTCTATACCATCTCCCAGGAATCAGGAAGCCCAGAGTAACGATCATCAATCACATCAGCAAAGTATGAGTGGTGATTGAGACTAACTCTGGAGTCAGATGGTATGGATTCAAACTCAACACTATCACTTACTATCTCTGTGACTTTGTCATCATCTCGAGGAGTCATGTGGCTAGTAACCCAGGTGGCCCACATGGCTAGTTACTCAGGATGGCTTGTACTAAAGTGTGTGCTCCTAACTCTTCCAATGGGTTGCAAAATCCAGTGAGCATCACCCAGGCATCCTATTAAATCATGGATTGCTGGGCCCCACACCCAGAGTTTCTGATTCATTTGGTCTGGGGTAGAACCTGAGAATTTGCATTTCTAACAAGAGCCCAGGTTCTGGTGCCATGTTTGGAAAACCACTCATCTATAAAGTGAGGAGGCTGATGGTAATACAAGTTTCATTCAACTGAATCCAGATGAGAGGATATTTGAACTCTCCTGGAGTCCCAGGCACAGACCCTATGGACCAAGGCCATTATCCCTTTCCAGCTACATGGCTTCTTGGAGCCTCAGTTTCCTTATCTTTAAAATAGGAATTACACCACCTTACAAGGAATTAAAAATTGTCTTATTTATTGTTTGAAGCATATTATAGGTTGAAAGGGGACATCTTACTGCTATTTGCCTTGTAGTAATACATAGCACAGAGTCCAGTGTAAGGCTCAGGCAGAGATGAGCTTGGGAAGGAGGATCAGTAGGAGAAAAGGACAGAAAAGCTGCCTGCCCTGACCTCATGCTGTATCACTCCTTCATCTCTGACTTTAAGGCTTGTCTGCTTGGAAGGTTCTCCTACCAAGATCTTCCATTGCTTAGACCTTGATGGCTTGTGTTTCGTTTTAATAAGGCTACCCATATTACTTTCCTGGATCACTAGAGGAGTCTCAAACTGAAATTTCTACAGGAACCAGCCAGGTAGCACAGATAAGTAGAGCATGTTGCATAAAGGAGAGTATATGCCCCATCTAAAAGGGCAGCTGCCATTCCATTCCCATTGATTATGGACAGGTGGGACTATGAATTCGTACCAGACAGCCACATCTTCTGAATTTTTCCAGGCAACCTAGAAATCCAGTTATTTATGTGGAATCTACCTTTTAAAAATGTTGATGATTAATTAGAAAATTAGAAAGATTTAAAAATTACACATGCATCCAAACATGCAAGCATGAGTAGCCCACTGGCTTACCCCCTCTACTCTAGAGCTATATTTACAAAATGATGTAATTTTCCCTCCAGGCTTATGATCATGCATTCCTCCTGGGTCTGGACCCCATGTGATCCAGGGGTCACTCTGTGCTGGTCCACACTCAGAACATAGGCAGTTGATGACCATGGCGTGTAGGCTGGGCTCTGACACAAACCAGTCATGCACCATACTGCAGAAATTTTGGTACAGGCCAGTTATATGGCACAGGCAATAATCCAGAAAGAGATGCTAAGCAGAAGGTTCTCAGAGGAGATACTGTCTGTGTTGGGCTTGTAGCTGTGCACAGTATTGGAAGCACTAGAAGTAACTGTTGGGATCCAGAAAGCTGGGGTGGGAGCTAGTGCTGGAGTGTGAAGGGGAAGTGCCTATCCTGAGACAGCCAGGCCTTGGCAGGGGCCACAAGGGGGGGACTGCTGGTCTGTGTGGGGACATGGGCCACAGACACTAGGAAGCTGTTGGGACACTTGACCCCAGTCTCTGATCCATCCCCAGGTCTTAGTGTTCACTTATCTCTTCTCCTTCCCTTCCACAGGATCTCCCAGACATTGTCTCTTCCCTTGTCCCCTCAGCTTTCCCTGCCTTCCTCCATTTCAGAGCCCTTAAACTACTGCTGCTTTCCCTCCTCCCACTGATTCCTTGGAGGCAAGAACATCTCTCCAACTTGAGAGTCACTGTCCTGATTGCACAAATTAAGACATGGATGAACTTACAGTTAACAAGACTTGCCCAAGATCACTAGGAGGAATGGGGCATTGCTGGGATGGAACCCATGTCTGTTGGGATCCAAGGATGCCCTTTCCAATGGGCCAGTTACTGATTTAACAAATACTGAGTGTCTATTATGTGCCAGGTGCTGTCGTAGGCACTAGGGATAGGGCAGTGAATGAAACATAAGAATTCCTACTCTCTTAGCCAGGTGTTGTGGTGGGTGCCTGTAGTTCCAGTTATTTGGGAGGCTGAGGCAAGAGAATATCTTCAGCCCAGGAGTTTGAGGTTGCTGTGAGCTGAGATGCCCTAGCACTCTACTGAGGGCAACATAGTGAGACTCTGTCTCAAAAAAAAAAAAAATTCCTAATCTTATGGAGTTGGCACTGGCATTCTTATTCTAACAAACAGAATAAGTCAATGATATATGAGAGGTATGTTGGAAGGTCATAAATGCTTTAGAAAATACTAAAGCAGGAAAGAGGGATCAGGAGTGTTGGTAAGTGGGAAGTGTCAGGGGTGGGAAGTGGTAGCTTTAATTTTAATACACATAGAATGATTGTGGTAAAGGTGACATTTGACAAAGATGAAGTAGGTGAAGACCTCAGGCACATGAAGACAGACCCTGTTGGGCCTTGGAGGGACAGAAGGCAGATTTGGGACCAGAAAAATAGGTGTCAGAACAAAAGCAAGACTTGGGTGTCATTTCCATCTGGGCCTGTGGGCATGTGTATCATTTTCTTCTTGGCATCAAGGCTATGCCTACCCTCTTTACCCGCAGACCCCCATTGCCTCAGCTTTTACTATTCTAGACACACCTACCTCTTCCCCAGCCTCAGTCACCTTCTTGCACCCTAACTATTGATTAGTTTCCATTCTATTTCCTCCTTCAGAATATGGCTCTGTGGCCACATCTTCCTTCTTAAACTTTGTTCTCCTCTATGGTCAGAGATCTCTGCTCAGCTATTGTCCACAGCTCCTTGGCCTTCTTTCCTTGACACCCAATACTTCTCTTCTGTTTTGGCCCCACCCCAACCTCATGCATTACCCAAAGATCTTTCTTCTTTTTCCTCCATGCCTCACCTTGCATGTTAGGGATTGTATGCTTCTGTGTGACACCTTTCACATCACTTCCAAAGCCCCTGTCTCTTCCTTAAACTCAGGCCAGTATTTCCACCTGAGTGTAAAGTTCCACCAGGAGGCCCCACCTGTATATCAAGCTCCACAGGCCCAAGCCAAGCTCATCAGCTTCCTGTCCTCTCTGTTGGTGGCACTGCTACCCTCCTCTTGCCTTCCCTCATAACTAATGCGTTCATCCATTTATTCACATCCATTCAAACTTCCATCCATTCAAGAAGTAGCTGTTGTATGTCTGCTATATGCCAGGTTCTGTTGGGGTGTTGAGGATACAGCAGTGAGTGACATAGACAAGCCTAGTGCACATTCTATAGATGGCTGAGTAGAGAGAGGCAGACAATGAATAAACACATACACAAGCTACCTTCAGCTATGAGAAGAGCCATTAAGGTGACAAAGCAGGACAAGGTAGTAGTGATTGGGTGGTTACTTAAGTAGGGTTGTCAGGGAAGGCCTCTTTGAGGAGATAACATTGGAGCTAAGTCCTGAATGAGGAGACAATATCATCTATGCAAAGATCTTGGAGGAAGAGTACTAGGTAGAGGAAATAGCAGGCAAGTGCAAGGGCCCTGTGGTGGGAACAGGTCAGTGTTTTCAAAGGCCAGCAGTCATTACAGCTGGGATGCAGAGAACAAGGGAAGAGTGAGAGGAGATAGTGTCAGAGTGGTAGGTAGGGGCCAGCCATATAGGCCTGAATGAGAAAATGACTCTACATCCATGATGTCTCTTATGTCCAGTCTTTGCCCCCAGTGTCTGAGGCACCCTAGTTCCTGCTTCATTACTTTCCACTTGGATGGCACAGATAGTCCCTCACCTCCTTTCTTTCTTCTTCCTTCCATTTTCACCTATACTAGTGCC